CCAAACGTGTCTCGGGTCCCGTGCACACGCGTCGATTTGGTCCGGGAGCGGGCCAGTTCGGGGCCGGATCAAACCGGCGCGATCACACCCCCACATCTGGGAAGCGTCCTGCTTCCGCACCCGAACTGGCCCAAACCCGGGAAGACCCGCCGCAAAATGAACCACCTACCTTGGGTGGTTCAAGAGGACGCGGCGCGGCAAGCTGGCGTTTGATCGCGCCGCGTCTTTTGCGACAGCACAACCCCGGGCCGGAGCCGAACTGCGCATGCTCGGACATGCGCAGTTCGGCCGGCCCCCGGGTAGGGCGTGTTTTCTCCCCGGCGTTTGATCGCGCCGGGGAGAAAAGGCGGCGCGGCCGGGGGATCCGTGGGATCCCGCCGCGCCATGTCAACATTGGCGCGGCTTTTAAAAGCTGCACCTTCAAGAGCCTTTTCCCCTGCGTGTGGCAGGGGCCCACGAGTGGCTTACAAACTCCTTTCCCTTCCCCTCCTGACAACAGACACCCTGTGAGGTAAAAGAAGAAGAAGAAGAGATTGGATTTATACCCCGCCCTTCACTACCCAAAGGTGTCTCAGAGAGGCTTACAAACTCCTTTCCCTTCCCCTCCCCACCACAGACACCCTGTGAGGTAAAAGAAGAAGAGATTGGATTTGTACCCCGCCCTTCACTACCCAAAGGAGTCTCAGAGCAGCTTACAAACTCCTTTCCCTTCCCCTCCCCACCACAGACACCCTGTGAGGTAAAAGAAGAAGAGATTGGATTTATACCCTGCCCTTCACTACCCAAAGGTGTCTCAGAGCGGCTTACAAACTCCTTTCCCTTTCCCTCCCCACAACAGACACCCTGTGAGGTAGGTGGGGCTGAGAGAGCTCTTGACAGAAACTGCTCTTTTTCGAGAACAGCTCTTATCAGAACTACGGCTTGGCCAAGGTCATCCAGCCAGATGCAAGTGGAGGAGTGGGGAATCAAACCTGGTTGTCCCAGATTAGAGTCTGTGCACTTAACCACGACACCAGACTGGCTCACCGTGAGGCTCACCATTTATTTTTATTTATTTATCTCTGTTATTTATACTCT